GTCTCATAACTGACACTTACTTCTAGAAACCCTCGATGCCATTGTGGTCCACAGTCAGAGAAGTGGCTTATGGATACAAGGTAATCAATAGACTTTTGATTTGGATATGAGTATACCAATGGGTCCTTGAATCCATCCTGTGATTATTTCCCCAGTTTGGGAATGCATCATCATAATAGGCATCCTCAGCACCTCGCGGAATCCCTACATTAGTTCACCAACCAATGGAATGGTGGCTATTTTAATAAGAAAGGCCATGTGGTAGGTAGCTCATAGACCCTTTTCTGTTTACCAAAAGAATAAATCAAAGACAAAGTACACGTTAGAAGTCATTTCAGAGAATATGGCAACCACTGGGTCTTGCAAAATGGTGACTCACATCTTCACCCAAGTTGCATATTGGCTTGTGCAGCAGACAGATGGGTCTTGGAGAATGTCAGTGGATTGGCATACCCTTAATTGGATGCTAATTCCAATTCTAGCTGCTGTTCCAGATGTGGTTTTGTCTTTGGAGGAAACATACTCTCATAACTTGGTATGTAGCTATTTACCTGCAAATGCTTTTTTTAAAACCCTCTATTATAGTTAGTAGAGACCAGATAGAGTGGTGAAGTGATCTTTTGAAGATGTTATTATAGCACCAGCTATATGACAACACACTGAAGGGTTGGGACAGTATTCTTCAGGATGTGGTATATGCTTTCCATCAGTGTGCAATACATGGTCTTGTTTTTCCCAAATCCAGAATTCAAGGGTCCTGGAATCAAGGAGTGAAAATGGGACAGGATCCTCTCATAGTTCCCCTAGTGATCATCCAGTAGCAAAATGTTGGCTCCTTGTCCCAGTGACTTTAGGCTCTGCTGATTTAGAAGTCAGAGTTCCCAAGGAATAATGCTTCTACAAGGACACAGTACTGGTTCCCTTAATTTGGAAGTTGAGACTGGTCACTTTGGGTTTCTCATGATAGTGAATCAGCAGGCACAGAAGGAGGTGCTGTGGTGGCTGGGTTGTTTATCTTGATTATCAGGGGAGTAATTATGTTGCTGCTATGCTGCTTGGGGTTGGGAAGGGTGTGTCTAGAGTGCAAATATCCTTGGGGTACCTCTTGGAAACTTCATAAGAGTTAATGGAAAAAACATAATAATCTAATATGGATGGCCCAAACACTTCAAAAATACAGGTTTGAGTCACCTCAACAGGTGAGGAAAGTTGAGTAACAAAATTGCTTCTAGGGCAAAGGGAAAGTGTAATGGATGGTGGAAGAGGGAAGGTATGCATACCAGCTACAACTGTATGACCAATTAGAAATAAGAACTGTAATAGTCATGATAATTTATCACTTATTTTGATATGAATGTGTTTGCATATACATTGTCTATCTATCTGTCTGTCTGTCTATCTATCTATCATCTATTTATCTCAGTTCCTTCCATTCCCTCATCTTCTATTGCTTTACTATCGACATAAGATGTACTCTTAGTGGTTAATGTGTACTGTAGAACATCAAATAGGGAGTTTGATGCTGATCTGCTGGCTCATCTTGTTGGATGGAGTACAGCATCATCTGTGTTTGTAGCCTCTCCAGATCACCCTTTTAGTTTTCTGAGTCTCAGACCAGGCACATATGGTGACAAGTACCAGTCTCATTTGTAGGTCACCAGTGTGATAGAGGTTGTAAGTATTCCAGTGGGTTCATTGATTTAGCTTTGTCTTTGAAGATTTTAGTCCATCTTGTTCTACATCTTTTTATATCCAACTTTTATTCCTCACCATAGGCCCTACTGACCTATAGCCACTTTGGGTTCATCAACAGACGCAGAGTTAACAGTCATCCATAGATTTCATCAGGTCCCCTTCCTGTCCTCTGGGGCTGATTCCCCAACCTTTGCCTTCTGGACTTATACTTTGTGTCTCCTCCCACCATTGATTAAGTCTAATATCTATAATAAATCTCTTAATTTGCAACACGTATATTGCTGGGACCCTGATACAGCAGTCATCCTAATCATTAACATTAAAAATTTCTGTATTGCCAATATTGTTATAGTTTAATTTTTATTAGATCTGAAATTAAACTATAAAAATGGGTGTTTTGAGTATTATTAGGATTTTGGTTTCATTGAATAAAATGTGGTTGGTTTTAAGAAAACGTTTAAGATTTGTAACTGTAAGGCTCAAATTGGATTTTTACTGTTTTTTTCATCCCTCACTTATTGAACCAAAACAGACCATTCTGAACAAAATTCAAAATATATGCAGGAATTTTCTATTTAATTCTCACTCTCTGGAGCCAACTGTAGGTTGTGATTTTCTTTTTTAGTTATATTGTTGACTTTTGGGTGAACCTATAACTTCTGTGCATGTATTTTTTGAAGGTTGACCTTAAGAGTCCAATATCACAGGATCATGGTGAGAAAGTGTCAGTTTCGCTGTGGTGGCATTTTGTGACTTTATTGTTATATTTAAATGTTAGTAGTGCTCCCAAGCATGTGCATTTCATTGTGCCTGGAGCATAGTATTTTTGCTAGGTCATGGACACATTAGCAAAAGAAATGGAGAGAATTTTTCTATGCTTTTATCCACTGTAGATTTGATCTGTTATATTACATGCTTCTTAAATTTAACAGAAAGTAATGTTCCCCCTCACTGTATATTTCACTGAGGAAGAAATCTAATAAATAAAACTATTTGGTTCCTGGAGAGAATCCCAGGTAGATTCATCACAGTAGAATGCACTTTTGACTTAAAACTAGTATATCCACCTTACATTGCAGTGAAAGAATCAGGCTACATAGAAGCTGTTAAATAAATGTTATAATGTAGGCATCCTAATAGTGATCAAAGTTATATTAAAGAATCTTATTATAATGATATATTTGCATAATATCTAGTGTTTTATGTTCTCTGATTATCACTGTGAATCATCCTTGTTCATATGAAGCTTTTTAAAAATTGTGCTATATTGCATGGAGCTTTATGTAACATTATTTCTTGGACTCCAGAAAAAAGATGAAAGATTTCTTGTTTCTTAAAAGGTAAAAATTGAGACGATTTTTAAGAGGTCAGAGAATGCTTTATTTTTGACATACATACAGGAAAGAAGAAAGACTCCTTTTCACATTTGCAATGGAAGTCATTCAAAAGTCAGAAGTAAAGAGGAAAACCATTTCTTGAGCTTTGGCCTGATCAGATGCCACTGTGATTTGGTGTAGCATTCAACTATTCACCGTGTGAACCGCTGGGATGTAACTCTGATAAAAAACAATAAAAGTAAAAAAAAACCCCACATAATAATAGTTGTCTGTAATGTTTATAAAATTGGTCAAGGACTTGAAAGTAATATCTTTGATAGGTCAGGTCATAAATTCTCTAAATTTGACAGTCCCCTCAAAAGGAAAATGCAGGCTTTCAGACAGCTGCCAACTGGTAAAGAATTTTTATCACTGACTAATCTTACCTTGTGATTTAGGAGATGCTAGGGATTACATGAGGCTTAAGTTAGGCCAGCTTCCATTACTTTATCTCCTGTATCCTCTTTTCAGTATTTTGCTGTCATCAAGAAGTTACATAAATATTCCCAGGGTATAATCAGTCAGGCGGCCCATCTTGAGCTTTCAGCTGGCTGTCAGGTCATTCTAGGGAAAATGAAAGCTTTAGAGGACAGGATAAGGTTATGCATTGCAGGAAGCATAAAAAAGGTATCTGCTCATGTGCTAAAATAGACTTTACTAAAATGATAAAAATCATTTCTCAAACTGCAGATGTTGGATTTTATCCTATTTTGGCTTACTAAAATTGTGAAAACATAGTTGCATTTCTGGACAAATCCTTGCTTCCTGTTCATCTTTTCAAGCTCTAAAATGAGGAGTGGAAAATGAAATGCTTGTTCCATTTTCTTTCCATTTCAGTCTTAATAGTATATGAATCAGTTTCTCTTCACTATATTTGTTTCAAATAGTCTTTCCCCCCCCTTTTTTTTTAACAGGCCAACTTATTTTTATAACAACAATTTATGCTTGGATTTTCTTTGTTTTACACACACACACACACACACACACACAGACACATCCCTACAGACATACTTCTTTTTCTCAAAAAGCACACCTTGGGAAATCTTCGTGTGTGCTATGTTCTTGAATCTAAGATCATGTATACATGGACTAAAAGATAGTACTAGTGTTTATTGCACCCTCTTTAAGATATGGATCACTTCACAGGTGGAAAGAAGTGTTAATCTAAACATTGAGAGTCTACCCTTATTTCCTGAAGAATGGGAAAAGAACACAGAGGAGGAAACTCACAGGGAGTGTATTGGGAGAAGAAAGGTAGAGTTTTGGAGTTGGAAAGCCCTGTACAGGGTGAATCATTGAAATAAACACAATTGGGAGTTAGTGTACAATTTGTGGTGTTTGTTGCAGTAATTTGTTAGATATTGTGTTTCAATAATAGTATAGTTGGAACTTTGAGATTTATCTATAGTGTGCCTTTAAATTTGAGATCTAACACAATGTTTTGTAGAAATTTTGACATCTCATAAACAGACATATGAGTGTCAGTGCCTACTAGAAGCATGGCAGGTGTCCAATAATTATTTATTGATTTATGGATGTTATTAGCTAAAGGACCCTTATTTATATTCAGGGTCACTATCATTTGCTGGCATGGCTGAGAACTGAGGTCCTAAGAGTTGTGACCTACTCAGGGAACCCAGAAGAGTCAGGATTAGAATCCAGATTTTCCAAAATAAATTTATAAATAGTACTATCACCCCAGTCTTGCAACAGCAAATTTATGCCGAGATGTAAAAAAAAAAATGTAATGGTACTGGTGTCAGGTTATGTGTTGTGTATTCTTGTATGTAGTAGGCAGGTCAAGCAAATGCTGTGCTCTACTTGCCAAGTCCTATTTTTCTCTTAGTCTTATAGCTTGGATTTTATTACAGTGACAGTATCATCAAGTAATTTTCTAGATTAAAAATTGTGGTGTATCTTTCATTGCAGGTAAACCAGAATAAGAACAAATAATCTGAACCATCATAAAAAGAAAGTGTCATTAAAGGTAATCTTTCTTTTTACTTTTTGAGACCTATGATTTTGACAAAAATTGTAGTGATGGTAAAGGTGTGGCCTAAAATGGCTGGCTGTTTCACTCTTTTCTATATGCAGAAGATTGAATTTTGTCAGGGCCAGAGCACAAAGGGCACATTTGCTTTATTTAGCCCACCCACAGGGAAACTGATCACAAGTCCCTATTCATGTATGCAATTTTCAATTTATTTATATTTCATCTTTTGCTAGGTAGCTATAATATAAAATAGCAGGATGAACTGAATTAACAAGAGTAAGAAAAATGAGTCCTAGCAAAAATAAAGGAAGGGAACTAAAGTAACTACAGGTAGGTTAGTTCATGGAATGCACCTTCTTAAATCCTACATGCAATATTACCAATATTAAACTAGACTCGTCTTTAAGATTTCTAGCAGTGAGTGAATAAATAGGCAGTAGGACCAGTCTTAGTTTCTGTGTCACAATGTTGACCAAGAGAAACACAACCATATGTTATACTAAGGACAGACATAGGCACTGTGCACCAAAATGAACAATGTCCTTGATAAAAACAAAGAGCTTCATTGAGCTCTTTCTTATAACCTTCTTCAATCTAGGTCCTTAATGGTAATTCAATCACATCAATTCATAGAGGTCACCATGATGTTGTGTAGGTAGACTGCTCTCTTGAATGGTCTAATTTAACTCAGGGACAAATTTTAAAGAATCCAGAGGAGAGATTAGATGGCACATGCTTAGAGCAGTCTTCCATAGTTCTTGTTTTCCACTGAAACTTTTGCTAGGTTTTGAGCAGCAGTGAATTTGGCATTGTGGCCTAGATAGCAACTGGCATGATGTTCTTTGGCATTGCTGCTCCTGTGCATGGACACATGCTCTAGCACTTTAGCATACTGGGGGCAAGGTAGAGATCTTACTGCAAAAAATGAGACACTTACCTAGGGTGCATTCCTGAAGAGAAGGCCACACACCATTCTGGGGATGTTGGCTGGGATGAAATTATGCCAGCCCAAGTTTTTCTCTAGGCGGTACCTTGGGATTCTCTAACAAACAAATAGTTGTGCAGTAGAAGCCTACCATCTACTTCATAACCAATGGCCAGAGCAACTTAATCTTAATATATTTTAAGTGGCTATAGTTAAATTCTTATATTATAAAAAATATTCTTAATAAACTACAATAAAATAAACTTTCTGGTACACAGTCAAGTTCCAGTCAGGGATAGATGTGACACCAGTAATTTGAATGGGGAAACTGACAATTTTTTTCATTTTATTTTAAATTAAGATATAATTTATATGCAGTAAGATATACTACTCTTAGTATGCAGTTCTATGAGTTTTGATGAATGCATTCAGGCATGTAACTACCCCACAATCAATACATACAACAGTTCTATCATCTTAAAAAAATTCCCCAACCCTCATTGTGGTCAATCCCTCTTCTCACCCTGAGCCCTGGCAACCACTGATCTGCTTTCTGTCCCCATAATTTTGCCTTTTTTAGAATGTTATGGAAATGGTATCACAGTATATAATCTTTTGAGACTGGCCCCTTCAGTTAGCATAATGCATTTGAGAGTCATTCATTTCGTTGCATATATCAGGTGTTTGTTTCTCTTTATTGTTGAATACTATCCTATGGTATGGATAGCCAGTTTGTTTATCCATTCTGCAGGTGAGGGAGATTTTGGGTTGCTTCTATATTTTGATGATTATGAATAAAATCACAAAAAGTATTTGTGGGCATTCTTTGGTGTGAGCAGAAGTTTTCATTTCTCTGGATGTAAAGTTTGTCATAGAGATTGTTTTTAAAATTAATTACAGTCTGCCTTCAAATAATGCTATACCACTTACTGTACAATGTAGGAATCTTCCAACAATGTGTCCCCAATCTTCCTTCCCATCTTTCATACTAGTTTTGCTACACATTATACTTTTACCTAAGTTATGATCCCATAAAATGCTGCTACTATTTTTGCTTCAGACAATCAATGGACTTTGAAAAGTATTTGAAACAAGTTGTTTATTAACTTTGTTTATGCCACTTTTGGTATTTTTAACTTCCCTGCGTAGATTGAAGTTTCTTTCTGGTATTATTATCTTCATGGGAAGAATTTTCTTTAATCTTTCTTATAATGCAGGCCTGCTAGTAACAGATTCTGTTTTTGTTTATTTGCAGTCTTGAATTCTCTTTTACTTTATAAGCTATATTCACTGCATATACAATTTTATGCTGACAGTTTTTTTCCTTAAGTACTTTAAAGATGTCACTCTATTAAGCAGGAATATTTAATACAAAAAAATTAATTTGTAAAAGTGGGTAATGACTAAAATGAGTAGAAAAGGATCCTTAGGAATATGGGAGTTGCTACTATGGGACTGAGGAGCATAGCCAAGGAAGGAACAAAAAATTTGCAAGACATTTCCTCTATAACCATAGATTCCGATCTCATGGGACAGGGTGTGGCTATGGATTATAGATGGTGGAGAAATTCTTTTAGGCCTTGAGGGATGAAGCTTGTCTGCAGACAGCTGCCCTCGGGAGGGTCACAGAAACTGGCTGGAAAGTGAGCATCTCTGGGAGCCTTGCATGCCACCAGCTGCCATCCCAGAAGGAGGGGAAAAAATCACTCCAGAACTGGGAAAAGAAGCCCTTTTCTGTGCTATTTCTTCCAGTGTCCCTCTAACCCTCTCCACTGGCAAAGCCTGACACTGTGCTAGCTAACAAACCAGGGGTGTTTATGGGGTTTTGCTTTACTCTAAAAATGCAGGACAAAAAATAAATTATGGACTTGGAGCAAAGAAGCAATAGATTTATCATCAGCGCACATGCCAAAATAAATGAGAGGCAAAATATACAAGGGGTCATATGAGACTTGTCCACATCAACAGCTAGAAAAGTATATATTGAACAACCTGCCCTGATGGCTTAAGCAAAGAATCTTTCCTTGCCTCTTCCAGTGACTGGTGGCCCCAGGCATAGCTCAAGCCTCTGCCTCCAACTTCATGTGGACTTTTCTGTGTGTGTCTCTCTGAGTCCTTTCCTCTTCTTATAAGAGTACCAGTCATTGTATTTACCCAGCTAAATCCAAGATGTTTCTATCTTCAGACCCTTACTGAATTATATCAGCGAAGATGTTATATCCATGTAAGGTCACAGTCTGAAGTTCTGAGTGGAGACAAATTTTGGGGAAAATTTTTCAACCCACCACAATCATACAAAATTCAATTGCAGTTGTACATACTAATAATAAACAATTGGAAAGTAAAATTTAGAAAACCACTTATAATCACAATTAAGGATAAATTCAGTAGCAGATATGCAAGTCCTATATCCAAACCTATGAAAAGCTGCTGGGAAAATTAAAAAAGACCTAAACAAATGGAGAGATACACCATATTCTTAGATTGAAAACCTCATTAGGGTGGCATCTTTCCCCACATTGATCTATAGATTTAATGCAATTTCAGTGAAAATTCTGGCAGACTTTCTGGCAGAAATTAACAAGCTGATTCTTCAGTTTTATATAAAGTGAGCAAAGAGGTTGAACAGAATATTACTAAAACAAAATACGAGGGGTCAATATGTACTTGAAAGGATGCTCAATGTCTTTAATTATCATGAAAATGCAAATAAAAATCATAATGAGACCCACAGCTAACATTATCCTCAACGGGGAAAAACATCCTGAGATCAGGAACACGACAGGGATGCCCACTCTCACCGCTGTTGTTTAACATAGTGCTGGAAGTTCTAGCATCAGCAATCAGACAACAAAAGGAAATCAAAGGCATCAAAATTGGCAAAGATGAAGTCAAGCTTTCACTTATTGCAGATGACATGATATTATACATGGAAAATCCGACAGACTCCACCAAAAGTCTGCTAGAACTGATCCATGAATTCAGCAAAGTTGCAGGATACAAAATCAATGTACAGAAATCAGTTGCATTCTTATACACTAACAATGAAGCAACAGAAAGACAAATAAAGAAACTGATCCCATTCACAATTGCACCAAGAAGCCTAAAATACCTAGGAATAAATCTAACCAAAGATGTAAAGGATCTGTATGCTGAAAACTATAGAAAGCTTATGAAGGTAATTGAAGAAGATTTAAAGAAATGGAAAGACATTCCCTGCTCATGGATTGGAAGAATAAATATTGTCAAAATGTCAATACTACCCAAAGCTATCTACACATTCAATGCAATCCCAATCAAAATTGCACCAGCATTCTTCTCGAAACTAGAACAAGCAATCCTAAAATTCCTATGGAACCACAAAAGGCCCCGAATAGCCAAAGGAATTTTGAAGAAGAAGACCAAAGCAGGAGGCATCACAATCCCAGACTTTAGCCTCTACTACAAAGCTGTCATCATCAAGACAGCATGGTATTGGCACAAAAACAGACACATAGACCAATGGAATAGAATAGAAACCCCAGAACTAGACCCACAAACGTATGGCCAACTCATCTTTGACAAAGCAGGAAAGAACATCCAATGGAAAAAAGACAGTCTCTTTAACAAATGGTGCTGGGAGAACTGGACAGCAACATGCAGAAGGTTGAAACTAGACCACTTTCTCACACCATTCACAAAAATAAACTCAAAATGGATCAAGGACCTGAATGTGAGACAGGAAACCATCAAAACCTTAGAGGAGAAAGGAAAAGACCTCTCTGACCTCAGCCGTAGCAATCTCTTACTCGACACATCCCCAAAGGCAAGGGAATTAAAAGCAAAAGTGAATTACTGGGACCTTATGAAGATAAAAAGCTCTGCACAGCAAAGGAAACAACCAACAAAACTAAAAGGCAACCAACGGAATGGGAAAAGATCTTTGCAAATGACATATCGGACAAAGGGCTAGTATCCAAAATCTATAAAGAGCTCACCAAACTCCACACCCGAAAAGCAAATAACCCAGTGAAGAAATGGGCAGAAAACATGAATAGACACTTCTCGAAAGAAGACATCCGGATGGCCA